CAAATTATCAATTCACTCCCTATTAAGTAAAAAACCAACACTAAACATAATATTAGATAAGTAAAATAAGCAATAATACGGAACTAATGTCTTCGACACAATTATTTTTTCAGTTATACTAAAACATCCATTAATAAGTAGATCTTGATTTCAAGGATGCAAGTTTTATTTCCATATCTTGCAATTTCAATTTCTGTTGCTCGATTTCACAGCGTAATTTATTATTAGCATTATCGCGCTCCTCAAGCTGTTTAGTAATTTCTTGCATAAGAGAGTCAAAGGTTTTTCCATTGTAATTAAGCAATTGTTAAGATAAATTAACCAACTTTTTTTTAACGTGACAGTTGGTCTCCACCTCATGATTGCATGTATGGGTATTGGTATCTGAAGTTTGTATTTCTTGGTTAACCATGTCTATATGTGTCTTGACACTAGTTTCGGTATTATATGATAAATTTTTAAGTGGTGGACTTCGGCGTTGACGTTCTTTTTTCCTATTATAAACTATAATTTCATGTTGCAAAAAATCTTCAATACCTAAATCTATACCACATGCTTCTAATTCTGTTAAAAGATTGCACTTTCTCGTAGTTAAACGTCTAAACTATTCTTCTAGTAATGAAGGTGATAATTGTTTTATTAAATCTGTATATGCTTGATTGAATTCCATTTGTATATACCTTGGTAAAAATTCTGTCGAATTCTATAGAATCCTGAAAAGTTTGTAGTTTAAAACAAAAAAATAGTGTGAAATTAATTATTAATTGTCAAAAGTAGTCGCGAAGTGCCTATGTATTAAATGATAAGTTGACCGGGACTTTCGAGTCCTTTATTTTCAGCTATATCAAGCAAATCCAATACTTTCTGCGAAGTTATTACTTGACGCAATGTCCTAACCACTCTACGAGTTAACCATTCTTTTTTATCCCCTCCCATATGAGAAAGGAATTCAAATATACAATCTTCTATTTTATTTTTATAATAATCAGCTTGAGATGTGAGCCCATCTTGTTTAGATACCTCATAAAAGGTTTTCGTATTAAAAATTTCTCTCATCAATTTGTGATATACCTTCTCTCTTGGATCCTTGCTCTGCTTCTCGAGTTCCATTGAAAGATGAATAAAGTTCTCAATCCAGGGATTGCTCTCTCGATCATATTCTAGTACTCGATAAATTTTTTTAACTTTAACCTCCTGCTGTACAAGTTTTGCAATTCTGTAGCTGTTACTACACATGTAGTGGTTGTGAATTGCGACTTGTCAGATATTGAGTTAGTAATATTTATAGATGAAGTAGATTGTGAACATTTTTTATTCTTTTTACGAGGCATTTCGATTGAATATATTTATAAAGGTAAATTTAAAACGATATATCTTTCGAAGAAAGTGTACTTCATGCATTACAATAGAAATTTTTATGTCTTCAGCAAAGTTGGTACATGATGTCAAAAAAAAATATATATCTAGAAAAAAAAATAACTATTGCTTCGCAGGTACATAGTACCTAATCATCACGAAATAGTAGGCCCATAGGGCGACTCTTCGAGTCATAAATAAAAGTCTAGATAAATTGCCAAAGGCAGTCATAAAGTAGCTATATATAAATAAGTTATACATGAATTAATAATACATTGTCTTTACTTCCGTTGAAACGAATAATTGATTAATTATAATATATTACCTTTTATAATTTATTGTATACCTCTAATGTATGGTACAAAAACTACTCGCAGTATTCGCAATAAGCAAGCTTTAACTAATGGAGGTATGCTTTCGTCTGCATTGAATAGGAAAATAGAAGAAACTGATCCACTCCTTATTGATGCCATCGCCCAAGTGGATGTATTTCATGATCAAGAAGATTATTATACTAACTATGTACGAAAGCAAATCGTTGATCGGAGGTTAGAAGAACCCTGGTTAGAAAGTGATATTCCTAGTAGAAGTGATGCACAATCTTGATCTATTTTAAACTTACGTTATAAGGGTGTGCGTGGATGTATTACAGAACCTGTGAGGCATTCTGAATTATCTTTAGGTTTTTTGGAAAATGATCCCAGAGGGAAACAGATTGGACCTGATATTAATAAAATTTCAAAGCAAATACAACAACGTAAGACTGATTTTAACATAGGAATGGGTAGTAATGCCGATACACAGGTTCCCGAAAGGCCATGATCAGAGCAATCTATAAAAATTGATCAAGATAAACTATACAGAAGACTTAAGGATAATACCCATGTTTTTTCTACACAAAGAGAAGAGAAAATTAATGAAGTAGCCCCACCCAGTGAAACTAATTATGTAAGGCATATGATAATGCAAAATCCTGAAGAGTGACAAAAAATACTTTCCAGTAGAGATTATCGTCTATATAATGAATTGATTCGTAAGTATACTAATTCTGGCAATAATGCACCTTCTTATGTGCCGTGGTGTCATGTTATGGGAGAAACTAAATTACCTGTACAAAAATATGGCAAGGTGTTCGATTCGTATACTACCCCCTTAAAAGATAGGAATATTATGCTACAGAAGTAAAGCTCCTAATGAGCCAAGTCAAGCCGAGTTACATAAGATTTGGCTTGAGCTCAAATATTTAAATCTGGCTCG